AGGCCCCACTCCCTATAGCAAAAATGTTCTCAAAAAAAAAAAAAAAGAAGAAAGAGAGAAGAAACACTTGTTCTCTAATTGACCAAGCAAAAGAATGTCATCATTCTTACCTATAGAAGCCAGGTTCCTGATGGTTTCCAGCATCACATCTCCATAGAGATTCTTCTGGAGGGGATCCAGCAAAGCCCATTCCTCTGGAGTAAAGGTCAAAACAACATCTTCAAAGGCCACTGAGTCCTGCAAAATCCCATATATGTTTAGGATAGAAAGGGTAAGAATGACAGCCCTGGGGATCTATACATAATTCATAAGAAGTTCATGTGAACTGTAAACATTTATACTACAATTTGGTGGTCAGAACCCTTTCGGTCTAAACGAACTTGTTCCCAGACAGAAACTCTAATGTTAAAACTGACCTATTCGGGACCAGCAGTTAGCGTAAAGGCTATGTCACTGGACTCCCACGTAGTCGACCGCGGTTCAAGTCCTGGACCCAGCGACTTAAACTCACGCCGGGCGTGTGTGCGTGCGTGCCCAAGATCCCAAGAGGAGAATGGTGGAGAAGGGATTGCGGTGTGGCCATCCCCCTGGGGGGTGATTTCTCGCTTTCTATCTCTCTGTCTCTCTCTGTCTTTCTGGCGAGCGCATGCGCCCTATAGCGAAAACCTCTCTCAAAAAAAAACAAAAACAAAAACAAAACAGAAAACAAAACTGACCTATTCGGGGGACCAGGAGTTGCCATAATGGCTATGTCGCTGGACTTCCATGTAGTCAACTGTGGTTCGAGTCCTGGACCCGGTGGCTTAAACTCACACCGGGCGCATGTGCGTGCGTGCCCAAGATCCTGAGAGGAGAATGGAGGAGAAGGGATTGTGATGTGGCCATCCCCCCTGGGGGGTGATTTCTCACTTTCTGTCTCTCTGTCTTTCTAGCACACGCACACGCCCTATAGCAAGAAATCCTCTCCAACAAAAAGAAACAAAAAGTGATCTATTCAGTAAAACAAGAGCACAAGAGTGTTCCTCTCTTTGGAGGCCCCAGGGAGTAAAGGGACTACTTTTTTTTTTTTTCCTAATTATATTTATTATTTTTCACGAGTTCACCAGAGAAGGAGAGAGAGAAAGTGAGAAAGCAAGTTACCAGGTCAGGGACTTGAACCACAGTTGGCCATGTGGGGAGTCCAGCGCCTTAACCAATGCACCACTTGCTGGCTCTGAGATGTACTACTTTCATTATCCCTAACATCACTCTCTAGAGCAGATCTATATAGCTCCTATCAAAGTCTGGGCCAGGAGGTGGTGCAAAGGTTAAGGTCACTGGATCCCACATGGATGACTCAGACGGCTTGAAAAACATGCCAGGTATATGTACACATGCACCCCAGAACTTGAGAGACTGGAGTAGAGAAGATTGCAGCATGGCCATCCCCCTAGAAGCAAGAAATCACCGCCCAGGGGGGATGGCCACGCTGCAATCCCTTCTCCTCCATTCTCTGCACGCCCATGCACACACCTGGCATGAGTTTAAGCTACCAGGTCTGGGACTTGAATCACTGTCGACTACATGGGAGTCCAGCGACATAGCCATTATGCCATCTACTGGTCCCAACAAAGTTCATCTTTTGATTCTAACTATAGACAAATTTTGAGAGGGAGCACATCAACCTTCATGGGAAGGGGGGTTCAGTGTGCTATAATTATTCATCCAGAATATAGTGAAGGGGACAGCCAGTGGTGTGGAGGCTAAGGCACTGGATCCCAACATGGCCAACTACATGGTCAGAGCCCCTGACCAGGTGGCTTGAAATATCATGCCGGGCGTGTGTGTATGCATGCCCAAAGTCCCAAGAGGAAAATGGAGGACAAGGAATTATGGAGTGGCCAATTCCTCCTTGGGTAGAAGGGGATTTCTCAGTTTCCACCTCTCTATCTCTCTCCAGCAAGCACGTGCATCTTATGACAAAACTTTAAAAATAAGAGAGAGAAATTAGGGACCAGCAGGCGGCATGGTGGTTAAGGGTGCTGGAATTCCCACATGGCCAACCACAGTTCGAGTCCTGGACCTGGCGCCTTGCTTTCTCGCTCGCTCGCTCTCTCTCTCTCTCTCTCTTCCTCTCTGGTCAAATTAAAATAAATAAGGTTAAATAAAATAATTCTTTAAAAAAAAGAGAGAGAGAGAGAGAGAGAAATTAAAACAATCCCATTTCCAAGAGTGTCAGAGGAGAAGGGAGTTTTGGCATGGCCATGCCCCTGGAAGGTGATTTCTCAGTTTCCTGCCATCTCTCTCTGACAAGCACACACACCATAAGGCAAAAATCTAAAAAAAAAAAAGTAGAACCAGCAAATGGCATAATAGTTATGTCACTGGACTCCCATGTAGTTGATGGCAGTTCAAGTCCCGGACCTGGTGGCTTAAAACTCATTCTGGGTGCATGTGCATGTGTGCCCAAAATCTCAATAGGAGAATGGAAAAGGGATTACGATCCCCTAGGGGGTGATGTCTCGCTTTCTATCTCTCTGGCAAGTACATGGGCCCTATAGCAAAAATCCCTTTAAAAAAAAAAACATATATAAAATGCAGTAGCACTTAGGAACAAAATCAAAAATGACAATGACAAAATGACAAGATCAAAAAATAAACTTGAAACATTCTAAATCCCATGAGTACCAGAATGGGTCAATTGATGAAACTGACTGAGGCAAAGAAATCAGGAAAAAAATTTTACAACCCAATATTTTTTTCTTGAGAGGTTTTTGCTATAGGGCGCATGCACTCGCCGGAAAGACAGAGAGAGACAGAAAGCGAGAAATCACCCCCCAGGGAGATGGCCACACTGCAATCCCTTCTCCTCCATTCTCCTCTCAGGATCTTG